AGAATTTTGTTATAAGCATCTGTAACTTACTAATGGAAGCACATTGCAGGGTGATATCTATGTGGCCATACAGATGAAAGTTGATTTTCCAGCTAGCCCAAAAAAATACAATTACCAAAATTTAGAAGTATTGATCTAATGGTACAAGTAATTCCTATAGAGACATGGCTTGGATCATCAGATTGCAGGGAGCATAAAGTTTGTTTGTGTTGTTACTATTTCAAACTGTATTAAACAGTGGCTACATAATTTTTAGTGAATGAATGGGGAAGGAAGATCCACTGCTCGATACTCCTTTTTGCGACTCCATTAGTTGTATGTTCAGTTGGCAGACTTTTGCTCTTTTATGTTACACATCATTCTTGTTTTTTTTTCTTTTCGAAGATTATATTGCATCAGTCTTATGACTTATGATCAGTGTGTTTCTACATTCAACAGGTCAAACCTGAAGAACTTACTGCAGTAATAAATGACTTCGATGAACCACACACTTTGGCACCAACTGGATTATTCCTTGGTGGTACAAAGTCGCCATGAAGGCAGCCAACACAGGCGACCTCCCTCTCTCTCGCTTCCTCTCCCATGTAACCCGCCACCACTAGCGACATCACGCTCAAGGCCGTCTTCGAGGACATCGGCAAGTTCTACCTCATCATGGAGCTCTGCAACGGCGGCCGCTTGCTGGACGAGATGGCCAGGTATGTTACCTTCTCTGAGTTGCATGCCACATTTGTGATCAAGGATCTCACGTCAGTGGTGAAGTACTGCCACGAAATGGGCGTCATCCACAGGGACAATAAGCCGGAATATATTTTGCTCACCGGAAACAGGGAAGATGAAACTAGCAGATTTTGGATAGGCAGCATGAGTCACTAACGGTATTTTTTTGCTAATATCTTAAGCTTTCTTCACACATCATGTAGAATTTTATATGGAGCCATCTTGGTACAGTTATCTTCTTCGTAATAGTAAAGGCCAAAGACAAATTTCCATGTCTTGGTGCATTTTAATTTCAGGTACCACTACAATGTTGCAAATGATAGATTATATTCTTATAAGCTTATTTTCCTCAAAAGTTTGATCTTTAATAATGGATGCTTCCTTCACTTTGACTTTCAAAGTATAATAAACAAGAACACCAAAAGGCCACGAATGTGTAACGATCTTTGATTGTTCCTGTTTCTCTTGTTGCTTTGCATCCGATTTATTTTTTAGGAGAATAATTCAAACAACCCTTGCCAATGAAGCAGCATGGGCTGGAGAAATAGCGCTAAAACTTCATTAAGTCGAAGTAGGCAGTATCCTTTCTGAATGGCCTTCTTTCTTCCTCATATGTCA